TCCATGATAAAAAAAATACATTTCTTCAGAAATTTTTCAATCTTTTAAAACTTGAATTTTTTATCTTCAAGATATAATTCATTAGATTCTTTCGAACGTATATATTAAATAAATTTAAATTGTATTATAAACCTAAATTGGATGTTATTTTATATATAATATCTTATTTCAATTAATCTTAATTCATTTATAATAGAATTATAAATCATCTATATTCATACATATATATATATATATATCATATAATAAAATTTTTTGTTATATATTATACAAGTGTATTTACACTAGTATATATATATATATATATAAAGATAAAATATCATTCTTGCACGCTTGGTATTTTCCATCTAATAATTTATCGCACGCGTGGTATTTTCCATCCAAAACTTCATGTCGCTTTGGCGCACCTTCACCCATCTCTCGGTTCCTAGCCGTGATAGGGTTTCTCGCCGGCGGAGATATTACGAGCAGTTCCTCGATCGAAATTCCTCCTAGCGTTTCCATTATCTAGTGTTGTTCTCGGTTCGAATTGGACTTATAGCGGGAGCGTTCTGGTTATTCTGCCCCTTGACAATGGAGAGCAAGCAAGATCCGGTTGCGGCTGGAAAAGGTTCCTTTGACCTGTTCAATCTCTCGTCTAGATGGGCTTCGGCGTGGGCAGAGTCCTCTTCGGCAGCGAAGACGGACGAGGAGGAGCCGTCGTACCTCAATACCTTTAACAGTTCCGGCATGTTCCAAATGGTGTCCATGGACAAGATGTCGGTGCAGTATGTTGGAAGTCCTCAACACTTCTATGATGTCGGAGCCGTGCAGGCCAACTGCCCGGCACCAACCAGGAGGATCGCTTACTACTTCGAAATGACTGTCAAGAACGCCGGGCAAAAGGGCCAAATAGCCATCGGCTTCACCACTAAAGAGTTCAACCTCCGAAGGAAACCTGGGTAAGCCAAAAAGAATTAAATCGCATTTCTTGATTTCATTTGATATTACCTTTCAGGCGATCATCTGCAATTGTCTTTTGAAAAAAATTGTTCCTAAGCTTTTGTTTTAGGTTTTTAAAATTCAATTTCTCGAATAATGTATCTCAGCTTTGCTATTCTGTTAGCTATTTAATTAAAACTGGCTTTTATCTTAGACTTTGAAAACTTGGTAGAATTTGTAGGTTAAAGCGAATCCTTTCATAAAATTTATTTTGAGGAAAATTATTGTATTGGTTCAAATTTGGAGAACTCTGCTACTAGCCATATTTAATTAAAATGTGAAATATTGTCAATAAAAAGTGTACGTTCCAGCCACACTTTACCCAATTCAGCTTCTTTCCATATTATACACTAAAAATTTACATCTTCTAAATCTTTGAATTTGAATTTAGTATGGTGGTTGAGATGAAACTCTATTCTTGTAATAATATTTGTTTGAGGTAGGATGAAGCATATCAAGTGATTTTTATACTTCTCTTGGATTTAAGCTTCTGCATATGCCACAATGATTTTGATTCAATCAATGAGACTATTTGTAGTAATAAGATGATAATGCCAAATTTTTACCAATTTTGTGAAATAGTTGTATCTTGGTTTATTGTTCTCAATCTTTGGGGATATATATATATATATATATATATATATATATATATATATATATATATATTAATTTGATCAATCTTATTCTTCTTGTATCTTACTCCATACACGATCCACTTCCAAACTCTCTGTGTTGCATTGCTATATATTTTTTTCTTTGTTGGTGCTATTGCATTTTCCTCAAAATTGTTTCCTTAAATTTTTTTTAATGCAGATGGGAAGCTAATAGTTGTGGGTATCATGGGGATGATGGATATCTTTACCATGGGCAAGAAAAAGGAGAACCATTTGGCCCAAAATATACATCTGATGATACTGTAGGTGCTGGAATTAATTACTCTACACAGGAATTTTTCTTCACGTAAGATGATTGCTCTTTTTTGTTTGAATTTTTTTAACCCGTTGGGCTATGTTAGTAGTAAATGTATGATCACATGTGTCCAGCTTCTGATAGTCATATCAAGATGTATAACACCTGGCAATCCTTTTTTATCTCTAAACAAAAAAGAATTTGTTTTAGCTGTCTTGTCAACCCAATTCATTTCTTTTGATTCCATGTGACAACTAATACCTTGTTAAAGCACTTCTTCATAGTTGGTGTTCAGTTGATATCATTAAGTTTTCATATCACTTCTTAAGGATATGTTGGAACAAGGACAGAATTCTTTGGAGCAACAACATAGCTTCTTTCAGTCAGACAAAACACAATTTTTTGTCCAATTAAGTTTCCTCTATGTTCTGATATTAAGTTTTTGAAATTAAAATCCTTCTTATAAATTATAATTGATCAATAATTTACTCTGATATAGTTTCCTAAGTTTTTTATTGTTCCATTGTACCTTGAAAATTTATTATTTTGCCAATACGTTTTTGAGAACTTTGCAACTTTTCTTACAGGAAAAATGGAGAACTTGTTGGAACCGTCTGTAAGGATATCAAAGGTCTTTTGTACCCAACAATTGCTGTTCACGGAACAAATGAAGAGTATGATTGTTTTCCGTGACTGAGAAGTTTTAGCCTGCAATTGAAGTGACATCTGTTTATGTCATCATGACTGTGTGCTACAATGCTGCCAATGGCTTTGTTTCATGCATCAACTTTTCATCTTTGAGTTTTGGTAGATTTAGAGAATTGTAGTAAACAAACCTTATTTGTGCATATGTATAAGTTTGCATGTGATTTAATGTGTCACGACTGACATTGTGTAGTGAATCTAAATCATTTTGTCTGATGAGCTCTGTTAACTGGCCAGTAACTAGTCGAGTGAAAGAGAAGGGAAGAGTTTACCTCTGAAAATTTTAAGAGGGATTTGGTCCTTCAGTTGCCCTCATATTTAGTTCTCTACCTTGTTCCAAGATTGCTGCCTTTAATGTAAGCTAAACTAACTCATTATTCTTAAAACAGCTGGTCAATGATACTAGGTTGACTCACTAATAATGGTGATTCAATGTGGGCTAGGTGACGTAGCTTAACTTTGGTAGCACCTCGCATGACCTAGGTGACTTACCACAATGTTTATTGACTCAACTAGTTTATATATATCCCATTTCACCATGTTCCTAGTTGACCTGAACATGGTTCTTGATTTGGACGTGATTGACTTGAAGTTTTTGCTGTAAATCCAAATGTTCTTCGTTGAATGATAGGCCCTAATTGACCTATCATGGTTCTAGTTGACCTCACACTAATCCTAATCGTCCAAATTGGTCTTGCTTGAAACTTGCTTTGCCTCAATTGGATCCCTAGTCAAGCCTAAATAACCTAATTTGAACTAATTGACTTTGGGTCATCAAGTCTCAATGGAACAATTAACTAAGGATTTGGTTGGATGCTTAAATAGTCTTGTTTGCAAGGTTGTAAGAAAAGTTAATAGATGATTACTTCCTTCTCATTCTATTTTGATTTTTGGAATTCTTCTTTCAATATGTAACTACTACCCAATAAACTTACTATTATCGATCTAATATTGCAATTAGATACTTTCAAAGTGAGATTTGATTGCTTGTTGGCCTCCCTCGGACCCGAAGGCTCTCGACCTATACAGGAATTCAAAGGAGAGAGAGTAAGAATCGGTTTAATTGCTACCTTAGACTTGAGTTCGATGGATAGGGAAAGAAGGACGATGGGGTGAGGAGAGAGCTTGGAAAAATTGAGATCTTCATTCTAAAATTTTGCTTTTCATTGCTTCTAGTAAGTCCTATTTATAATACAAATAAGAATTTAAAATTTGAGGTAATTGTTAAAATCAAGGATAAGATATCTCCTTAAAATTCAAAATCTAAATACTCTTAATCTTAGATTGAAGCAATTATTTCCTAAAATCAAGGAAATACCAATCTAAAAGCCCGAAATTTAGGAGTTATTAGAAAATTTATAATAAGAAAAAATTCTAAAGAAATCCAATGGATTCATTTCTTTGCCCAATCTGTCACCTCCCACCTAGGGACTAATTGGCCCTTATCGGTTTGCTATACTAATCAACCATGATGTTGTCTATTGTTGGCCAAATGCCAAATGTTCTGTTATGATTGTGGCTCCTCTTTTTGCTTCTTTCACTCTTACTAATTAATGAGGGAAGTGTTAGGCTCCTTCCTTTGCTTGCCATTGACTTGCCATGGAGTTGATTCCTTCTTTGGCTAACTTGAATGTCTTCTTTAAAGTACTTCACGCCAAGGTAGCTTTCATATCCACAATGCAATTCTCCTTCAGTGGGCCTTCAAGTCTAATTTTGGGACCTTCAACTATAGGGCATCTCTCTCTATGAGCCATTAAATAGATATGATGAGGAGGTTGCGAGCTGATCATTCTCACTAATATTTCCATCTAGCACTACATCACTTTTTGGAATTGGAGGGCTTCATTTCGGACGGTGATGTACATATGATGGATCGAATGGGGGCATCTATTTCTCATCAAGCATGTCATCTCCAAGGTCATCCCAATTCTTTGTATCCTCCTCAATGGTAAGCCACTATAAATATGCATCATCATTTGTTAGATTCAATTGCTCGATGGTTGAGGGACCAGATAGGGACTTTGTCTAACTGGGATAGACTTGTTATTGGTCGAAATCCTATCCACTCCATTTCACTCAGGTTCCCCTGTGTAATGAAGGGTTATTGAGACCTCCTGATTGATTATGCTCAAAAAAGAAATTGCGAACAAGGTTTATGGCCCTCAGAATGGTGACCTTGATGAGCGTGACAGTGTAGCTTAGGCACTACATGAACTTTTGTATCCAATCTTTTGGCTTGACAGTTCTTGGTAATATCTGAGGCAAATGGGATTGATGTTGAATATTCTTGACATGTATGTGGAGTTAATTCGTTGACTTAACGTGAGGGGTATTCCTGGAGAGATACTCAAAATAATGCTACTTGGATGAATCTGAAGGAACTTTTGGCTCTCCGTAGACTTGTGAGGGAAGCTCACTTGTTCGACATAGAGGGCGTTGCTATGCTGTTGTGGAATTATTGATCATGATGACTTATTGGTATGACATCAAAGGTGGCATCATAGATGTTTGTCGAGGTGCTGTCAGGAGTCATCAGGAAGGGCGTTGCTAAAATTCTCAGTTGTTAGCTATGCTGCTTTGTGTCCTACATACTTGGGCAATGGAGGCTGCAATCCCCAAAATGAGTTGATGCTTACTAACCTAGTTGAATCCACATAGATAGAGCCCTAATCTTTTAGGCAAGGATCAAAGAGTTGTCGGTGGAAGCCACTTGTTGAAAACATGGAGTGATGAGACAAATTGTCACAATAATGTAAGCAATGCCTTCCTCACCAATGCTCTCCACCAATGGAGAGAACTGATCACTTTGGATTGCAGTATATCTTTTGCAAGGTTGTCTAATTGTATGAATCGATGTGGAATAGATGCAACTATGGATGGAATTACTAGGGTAGGGGCTAACTTCTGCTCAACCTAGTGCAACCTCAGGTTATTATTCATCCTAGCTCTTTTACCTAGGCAGAATTAGAGTTTGGTAATCTAGAATGACCCAAAGACAACTTAGCTGAACGGGTAAAACCTTTCTTGTAGGAAGTGAGAGTTGTGCGTGCATCGAGACGTGAGGAGGAAACTTGATCCATGCAATTATCCTCCTTTGTGAATTATAAGAAGAAGCATAAACACGAGGTGGGGCTTATCAACCAGGGCTATCTTAGGTGTTGAAAGTGCTATGACACACTAAGAGGAGGAGAGTGAATTGATATTTTTTTAAAAAAATTTTCTTGAAATCATACTAATATGCAGAAGCTTATGATTTTTTTTTTGTTTTATTGAATTTCAAGCAAGAGTTAACCCAAAAATTTATCAAGCACAAAGTTCACAAAGATAAGCAAAGTAAATTAAAGTGCATGTAGAAAAGTAAAGAAAATGCAAAACATATTTTATAATGTTTAAGTCAAAATTGATCTACGTCCACTCTGTAAAGGTCATCCTCTTTGGGTATTGCATTATATCACACTCTTTTAGCACTCTATTAGCCGTAGAAGCCCTTCTCCCTTACCAGGTAAAGAATGACCTTTACAAACTTTTCTATTCCTGAAGAATCTCTCTCCTTAAGCCTTCAGACATGGTGGAGATGCTGTTCCCTCAAATTCTAACAAGAGCTCAGTATGAAAAGGACAGGCTAGACAGATCAGGAATTGAAGAGATGCAGTAACAAACAAATTTAGTACCTGACAAGATAAGTGCTCTTGGTCCACCACTTTTGGGTCTGTAATCTATTGAATTCAGAGATTTGGAGAGGAAAAAGGCTTTAATTTGATTAAACAAAGCTATCCCTATTTATAGATATATACAAGATATCTTAATAAAGAAATAAATAATTACAGAATCATGCATAATTGCCTTAATATAATCCTTCCTAAATCAGCAACCCAAATATAGAAGGAGATCGGCGTGATCCAGGTAAGCCTCCCACAGATCCCCATTCTGGCTGTGGGATCAAGGGCCAAGGGACGGTTGAGATTTAACAGCGTGATCCAGGTGAGCCTCCCATAGATCCCCATGCTGGCCATGGGATCAAGGGCTAAGGGACGTTTGAGATTTAATAGCCTCCCTATTGCATTTGTATGCGGCCTAGTCTTCCTCAGATTGGAAGTGGTCATCAAGTCTAGGCTGCTGAGCAAGTCTTCCACACTTATGAGCCATTGGATTAGGAAGATGAGAGTGCAAGTTAAGCTAGGAGGAGAAAGGGTGGTGAAGGTTGAAGAAGAAAGTGAAAATAAATCCTCCATTTATAGCCTCGGGTCATTTGTACAATCTGATTGAGGGATCGTATTGTCTGATCGAGGGTTCGTACAGTTCGATCAAATCCTTCCAAAATGTCTCATCGAGAAAGTACAGTTAAGATCAAATCATCAGTGCAATCAGGGATCATCCAATATGACATGAATTAATGGTGATTTTGTTGTTTGTTAGCACAAATTAATTCCTCAGTGTAGGCTGATGGAATCCTTGGTACATTTGTATATGGTGTAATTTGTTTTTTTATTATGTGCAAATATAGAAGCACTTTTTTTTTTCCCTTGTAAATTTAGATATGTTGGAAGTAAAAGAAAAATGATTTCTTTTGTAACATTTTTCTATTTTCTTTTCAAAGAATTAGCATATCAGTATTTTGATTTGCTTGGGAAACATAAGAGGGAAACCTTTTTATTGCACTTGCGTCTACTTCATGGCTTCAAAACCATTAGCAACACTTCTGGAGCTTGTCCATCTTTGTTAGGGTGTCAAACTTAATTTAATAAAAGATTGCAGAACTAGACATGACATTACAAAAGGAAGCCTTGGAGGCATTATTCCAGGAAATTTAGTGGGTTCGTTGAATACTGATCTTTCTCATTTTTCTTTTAATCTAATTGTGATGGGATGAAAGTTAAAACTTACTTTTGTTTTTGAATATATATATATTTTTTTTGTGTTTTTCTGTCTGACAAATATTTTTAATTTTGGTACAACTTATGTTCTTCGAATTCTCATTTTTCTTATTTGCCTTTTGTTATTCTTTTAATGTTATTGTGATGGGAGGAAACTTATGGTAGTTTTAAATATGAAATTTTTGTATTTTTTTGTCTGAGAAATATTTTTTGATTTATAATTGCTGAAAACCATTGAGGCATTTGAGCCATTTCGGATTTTATATTTGTCAGTTAGTTATTGGCGTTGGTTATTTAGGGTTCCTTTAATTTAGCCTTTTGTGAACTGATGAACAAGTTAGATCTGGAAACAAATGGTTTTAACAGTAAAGTTGGGCAAAGTAATGAAATATATCTAGTTAATATAGGCATCCATAGTTTGTAATCGGAATATGTGTAGGTCATGGGAGTAGAAATGTTCAATTGCAATTTATTTGTGGAATGCATAAACTTATCTCAATAGCAATGGATTTTTTATTTGAGGGGCTGCTTGGTTTACTGAAGAAGGAATGCAATGTAAAATAAAAGACTATGGAATGCAATTTATTTAGAGTCTTTGAAATTATTTGGATGATGGCAAAATTAATACAGATGATTACTTTTTTTTTGTTTGATTCGTAATAAAGTGAATGTAGTGTAAATTCCAACGTTGGTGTTGGCGGTGGCGGTGGCAATCTTTTGGTAGCAGTGCCGATGGTTACAACAACGTCAACCTGAAGTGTATTTAGAATTTGACTGAAAATGGCCGAGTTTAGAATGCATTAAAAATGAACGGAGTGAATTTAGAATGCACCAAAACTTTACTTTGCATTCCTTCATCAAATCAAACACCAAAATATAAACAAATCTTATATTGGGAATACTCTATATTCCTTTTTCAACAAACCAAACAGTTATCAAAACTATGCTGAACTCCTAATGTAAATTTGCTGATTTTTATTTCAGGGTGACCGTAAATTTTGGGAAGCAACCATATCGTTTTGACATTGAGGTATATCATGTTAACTTTTATTGGTTGTAAATGTAAATGTTTCTTTGGTACATGATTTAACTTGTTTATTTTTCTATACATACTGATCATCTATCTTTTTTTATCATACAATGAATTGGGAGATTTTTTTTTCTATTACCTTTCATTTTTTTTTGTCTTGCTTCTTTTATTTGGCATATATTAGCTAGTTTTCATGATAAAAAAGATTCTTATTTCTTGCTTGCCTTTGCTTTTGGTTTGTTTTTCAAATATTTGTTTTTTAGCCTTCCTTTATATTTTACTTTAAATATAAGCATTCTTGATGATGAGATAGCCTAATTTGAATTAGAACACTCATATTTTAGCAGGAACAACTAAGAGTAGAAAGTGCATCTATATGATGGGTAGATCATATTAGTGCCTAAATATTAGGAAGAAAAAGGTGTGGCAAAGGTAACTGTATAGAAGCTATTCAATAATATTTGCACTTAAATAGATTTGATGTTGTAGGCAACACTTACAAAAAACTTAAGGAGATTCATGATACCTAGAGTTGTTCCAAAATAGTTGGTAATGTTAATGATGATATTGTACTTCTCTTTTGATGTAATCTTTGATAACTAATGTTCCTACACTCCATGTTTATTTGAAGTATGTTGACCTTATTTTTTTTAATCAGGTCGACAAACTTCCTCTTTCTGTTTAACCTTAGTTTATAGGACTTCCTTAGTATAGGGCCTTTCTTATAGTACTCTTGTAAGTGGATTCCTAATGACTTAACATTGGCTAGCCTTATAAAACCCAAAACTCTAGAGAACTTCATGCCTTATACTAGACACTTGAGACCCATGAATTAGGTCAACCATAGCATGGCCCAGGTGACATGCAGGACCATTACGAGTCTACCTTAGACCTTCCTAAGCAAATTAAAAATCTTTCCAACATTTATAGATCTGTTTATAGCATGTTAAATTCAAACAAAAATTCTAAACCCAAATAAACATTAGGTGATCCCTAGGGTTTTAATTGAAGCATTTATGATCTAGTTAACCCTAGACTTGCCTAGAAGCAATTCAATGATCCTTGGTATTCTTATTTTTCTTAGGTAGGTAGTGGAACCTATGAGGTCAGGCTTATGTTAACCCCAGGTCAATTATAAGAAAGCTCAAAACCTTAGGAATGACCTATCCTTTTTAAGCCCTATGGCACCTACCCTTGGCTAAACATATATAGCCCATTACCATAGGAATCACTCGAGATGTCCTTGGTTTCTCTTCGATCCACCCTAGGGTTAAAAAGCTTATCAACCCATTTGTCCCTTGGTCAAAACATATGGTTTGATCAAGACCTATCCTTAACCTGAAATCACCTGAATTCAATTCAATGAACCAAATCAAACCCAATGACTTTGGCATCAAGTTTAAATGGCCTGAGCACATTTTAGGAGCAGTTGGGCTCACTCATGACCTATGGTCAATTCCTATCGATCATGATCAAACCCAATTTTACCAAAACCCTAAAATGACCTATTCTAAGTTCTATCAGAGTATCAGACTAATTCTAATGAAACATAAATCAAATCCTTTCAAACTTTGCCTAAGCCTAGTTAGGACCTAACCTAGCTACCCTAGCTTACCCAACCCACATGGGCTAACCTAAAGGCGCCAACTCTCTGACTAGAGCCCTAATTAGATTTTTTAAGCCATTCAAGCTTACCAAACTCAAACCAATCCAAAACATGTTCCCCACAGGACTCTCCAGTCCTTCCTAGACCTTACCTATTCAATAAGACAACTAGAGCTAGCTCATGCAGCCGTTTTAAGCAAGGATGATAGCCCCATAAGAAATCCACCTGCCCATTGCTGATCCAACCTATCTTGATCTTAAGAATGGCTTAGGATACTTTTTTCCAGTCCCATTGGCTAATCCATAATAACTTGGCTAGTTGGCATCACTGGTGATGGCTAGATTTTTGCTATGGTTCATCCGATTTTCCTAATAAATAGGACATGCTTGAGCAAATTTGGCATGTAATAGGAGTTTATCTCTGAGTTCTCGGTGAGTTTCTAAGTGTTCCTTAACTTTTCTCTCCCTCAGCTCTCTTTGTAAGTGCAAGAAGACTTAATTTTGATGAACATATGATGGTTGTTGACCTACAATATTATCGACATGTTGACAATCCAACAGAACTTCAGATACACCTTTACCATCTCATTGAAGCTCTCCAATCATTTGGAGCATTTGCTTTCTTCTTGGATTTAAGTATGCTTCAACCCGGAATTTAGAACCATTGATCTTGTTATTTCGTGTGATGGATTATTCTAGCCAAATTGAATACATGAGACAATTCGTCAAGCCTCACGAATGGTGTGGATTTTATTTCACACCATGAGGCAGGCTAGATTGCCGATGATAAGTGAATAGATTCTTGACTCAGGTCTTATTGTTTGGTTCATCCATATGGATGCACAATCTCCCTGTTGTATTGGATCATCCAGTCTGCATTTGCCATGTGGAAATCACACTAGGTCCACTGCCAATGTAGATTATAAAATTAATTTTTAATTGATTTAAATTTAAAAAAATATGTTAAACTTTGAAAATTAATTTCTCTAAAATACTTAACCAAATTTGTTGATTAATCCCTCTTTGAAATCAGTGTTTGAGAGGATCTAATGAATTCTAAGTTAGAGCGTAAGTCGCTTTGTTTGACAAAGTGATTTCGTTTCTAGTGTTTGAGGGTAATTACTTATGCGCCTTCATTGCATCCAATTGTTTTGATATTTAAATGAGAAGTTCTCTGACGTTTTGTTGAACTTCTGCAAATTTTCTCGTTTGAGTTTGATGTTTGGTTTAATTTAATTAGATTTTTCATGATCAACACACCTAAAAGAACCTAAATATGGATTATTTATAACTAATGTTAAATGAATCATAAATCTTGAAACCAATTTTAAAGTACTTGTTTGATCTTCAAGAATAGAGGATACAAATTTTAAAACCTAATAAAACCATTAAACTGATGTAATAAATTCCTAAATATTAAAAAATTTCTTTAAAATTCTTTTAAAGCTTAAATGATCTTAAATTTTAAGAGATTGAATCGAATCATGTTTAATCCTATGGTTTCAATTTCATGAAATTTTTAAGGTCATTTGTTTAGAAATAAATAAACCTTAATTCTAGGTTAGGTTTTCTTCCTTAATGGACCCATGATTTTGTAAAAAGCATAATTAAATCACAGAAAATCATAATAATATTAATTAAAATTTCACAAACTCTTACTAAACAAATGGAATAAGAGAAAAATAATTTGAAATATTTTGAAATTAGTAAATATGATTTCTTAATTTGTAAAGATCAATTGCGCTAATAAAAAATAAATCATTAAAAATCATAAGCTACTCTTAAATAGTTCAGATTTCGAGAGATGCTCTTTAGATCATGATTGGTTTGTGATTCAAATCTTTGAATTTTTAGCTGATTGAAGAGGTCAGTTATGAAATCCTAATTCTAAAGTAGGAATGATACTTTGATTGGCTAAGAATTTTATAAAATTCATAATAAATTTAAGTAAAATGATAAAATTACCAAGTAAAGTGGTACAGATTCTTAATAAATCTTAGAAACAAAGAAGATAGATTGAAAAGGTAAATATGCTTTCCGGATTTTCAATGTTTACTGAATTAATAAAATCAATGAATCACTAAAACTCATTAGTATCTCGAAATGGCTTCAAAATTTCAAAGGTAATTTTCTAGGTCATCCTTTTTTTTTTTGATAAAAGCAGTAACTGCATTAATGAAAAGAAGCAGGAAAGAAAAAATAACTACAAAGTAGATTCCTCCTTCATTATTTTAATAAATGAAGGAGGAACCTTATCCAAGCATAAGTCTTCCCAAGTGAAGCTACTAACAATAGCATAGCTAGCACACAAATCCGCTAGTTTATTGCTCTCCCTCTTAACAAAATTGAAAATAACATTATTAAACTCTTAAAAAAAATCGAAATCATCCATACCTTTGAGCCCTTGATTCCTTATCCGATGTATAGCTTTAATGACATTAGAATTGTCACTTTCTATAATAGCTCCCTTATATTTGAACATCCAATCCTTGATCACCTCTTTCAATGATTTGATAGCAAGAAGTTCCAGATGATTTATGTCCCAATGAGATAAAGATTTGCCAAAAGCCATTAAGAATATTCCTTTACAATCTCTAACCACACCACCAATGCCTGCTTTATATGATGAACATAGGGCAGCATCTACATTAATTTTTAACCAACCGGGTGGAGGGGGATGCCAAGTATTAGACAGCCAATAAGACTGGTTATCATCTCCTTTTTCCGGACTATAGTTAAAAATATTTTTTGAAAAAGCTGACAAGCTGATAGCATTAGCAGCAATGAAGTTTGCACTTTCGTCTATTCCATCATGTAACATTTTGTTCCTAGCTTTCCAAGAGAGGTAAACAACATTAAAATAAAGGTTAATAAACATACCATTAACCTTTGATGTTGTATTTAACCATCTGCAACAATCTTCAAAACCTCCAAACACCGGAATTTGAAATCCCCAAACATTCAGTAAAGAAATAACTTTTCTTAAATTCAAGCATTTAACAAGAATATGTTCAGTATCTTCCTTCCCCGAATCACATCTGGGACATATTCCATCTTCTTGTAATCTTCTATGAGAAAGGAATTGATACGAAGGCAAAGCGTTCTTAAACAGTCTATAACAGAAAATTTGTACCTTCGGAATAACCTTTGCCTTCTTTATCCATACCGTCCACCTGAGACCCTCATGATGCTGAAACAGGGATTCATAGATCATTCCTGTAATAGTCTTCCCAGAATTCTGATAAATAAGCTCCCTCTCATCAATAATTTGTTCTCTGTTGATTTTGATTTGTAGAATTAAATTAATCAAATCAGTACCAAAGAACTGCTTCAGCTCTTCTACCTTCCATCTTCCATCTTCAATAAATTTGCTTAGTTTGATATCTTCATCAGCT